ACAAATCATTACAAAATTCCTAACATACTAAAAGCAAAGAAAAATATCTAATAATAACTAATAAGCTAAAAGTAACATTAAAATAAATTGTGTCGATCGGGTGAATCAGATCGATAATAATGTTTGTTTCATTCTTTTCTATGATTATACAATTTGTAGAGGTACAATGATTAATTTTTAGTAGTAAATACTCGTAGTCGTATTTAAATAGAATGATTAACTAAATAAACGTTTATAATAAAAAAAAAAGTAAACAGTAATGCCTAGAAAACCTCATGAATAATATATTATGTACTTATGTAGTACTTTCTAACATTTTTTGGTTTATTCTATAAATAACAATATGTAATTAGTATAAAATGAATGAAAAAGTATATACACAATGGGTAAATAATTAGATTATGGATACGTCTATTAAAAAAAAAATAAATTAGTTTAGGTTATTGATTGTTATAAAAAAGGTTTTGTAAGAATCAGGTTATTAAACAACATTTCTGAAAGGTATGTGTGTGTAGGGATTATTGGCTTCGAATTTCTATGCCCATTCACCATTATTTGTAATATAACCAACCTCTGTTACAAAACTATTTACATTATAATTGAAAGCTGAAAGGTAAGTACAAGATTTCATTCCTATTATTTTTTATTCGAATTCATGTCTACATAATTGTTGCGTTTGTCATATATACGTTTAATTTTGAAAATATATCTAATTGAAGTACCTATGTCGCTTTGTTCCATTCAATCAATATTTAATACTGTAATTGAACATAAATTACTTGGTTTCAACACCGATAGATGGCGACAAGTGTTACCAGGGCCGGATTAGCGATTGTTGAGGCCCTAGGCTAAAAATTACTTAGGGCCCCTCCTCCTCTCCCTATCCAGAATATTCAGAATATTTTATGGTACCTAGGGTAGACATTTTTTTTGATGAAGTAAAATGTGAAACAAAAATTCAATTCAATTCAAAAATAATATCTTGATTTAAAAAAAAAAATTCTCCAAAAAATACATAAAAAATCAAGGAATATCTAAAAAAAATAACCTAAAACATTTTCGCTAAAAAAAAAGAATATCCCCTTACCGCATGTTTTTTTTATTTGTTTAAAAAAAAGATTTAAGACGGGAAATAATATATATATACGTTAGGAAAAATAGAAAAAAAAATATTATTTACATTTTAAAAGGATATGGACATAAAATAAGGGTATGTGCCATTTATGGCACAGCATGTGATTAAGACTTGCATAAAAACAATTTCGGTCTTTGTTTATACCAAGAAAAGCTTTACATTTCGCAAATTGTATAATTTTTTTCCAATACATCCAGGGTACTTGCACCTTTGTCTCTGATTTTGCCAATGTACCCAGTGGTCAAGTTTATCGGTTCTAACTACCTGAGTTGGGAAATCTGTGGTTGAACCACGATGCTTTTTCACCTTCAATTGGTAGTTTTGGTCAACCTCTTGGTTTAGTAAGGGACTTATTTGCTTTAGTTAGGCATTGGTTGACTTATATCCACCATAAAATAATATTGGGTCCATCATGTACCTAAAAACCAAATCAAAAAAATGTGTTGGTTCAGTCATATTCATGTCATAATAGCATACTGTGCCATATATGGCACAGAGAAAATGTTGGCAATAACTAGTATCTAATATATAAAAAACACTAACTCACCTCAAGAATCTATCACCAAAGTCACACTTTTAACTTACAATATTTTTTCAAAGAATAAACTTTGATAATTTCGATAATACACAACATGTAAATGTCTATTTCTCAAACGATCATCAGGTGTTGTGCACCTTTAAGCAATTGTATTGTAACTTTCGAATTTATCTACTATACTCTGTTTTTAAACTAAGAGGAGCGATTTGAATTTAAGTTGGCAACTCTGTAGCCTTCTGATTGGTCAGATTACAGTCAGTTTCACACATTACTTTTTAGCATGAACATCAGCTAATAATTGATATTGTTGACAGTTCTGACATTTTATAATTTGATATCTCATCCATTACTTAGTTTTTTACAAAGACATTACAACAGACGTTTTTTACTTTATTTCGTAAATAATAGTTCTTTAGTAAGCAATTGTATTGAAAATCTACAATTATGGATCCTTCTACACTGAGTACTATTAAAGGTAGCAATTCCTGAAAAGCCTTACAAGAAAGGGAAGATACCTTATTACTTTACATGCTGATTCTGAAGGTTTTGTAGAAAATGCATTATTGGTTTTTGAAGGTAAAAAGATGGGAGATTACCATGAAGAGATAAATTCCGAAGTATTTTAGAAAAAAATATTTTATTACTGATTTTTTAAAACTAAAAATTGATGAATTTCTAACCAAAATGATTAAAATGTAACTAAATATTCAAGCAAATTTTATTTATTAGAATAGAATAAAACTATTTACAAAATTGTTATAACATTTAAAACACCATCTACTACTTTAGGGATAAACTTAATTTGGCACAAACATTATTTTCACAAAAAATATTTTAAAAATACTTAAAATTAATACATAGGTATGTATGAATAGTTCACTTTAAAAAATATATGTTGACATGTAGTGTTATGAAAATGTTGGTTCCAGTTTTCAAAACAAATTCTGACTCATAGGCCTGTAAACTTTTGAATGCCCTTTAGCGCATTAACCATGGGTTAAAACTAAATATGCCATAATATCCACATTACTCATAGAAGAGATACCAGTTACTTTGTGATCCACTTGTCATTCACTTTTTACTTTTTATACCTATAAACAAATATATCCTTAAAAATGTAAACAGATCTTTATATTTTATACTAACCTGGCTACATCTGGATATTCCATTAACAATTTTCTTAAATATTTAATATCCATTTTAAAAAGATCATAGTTATTCTCAAAAAGTCGATTTCAAAAGCAAGAAAAAAGTATTTCTGACATCAATCAACAACCATATTGACTTTAATTTGACAGTGACATTTCGTTTTAGACACACATTTCAGATCACAATAATGTGAAATTTGCGACCGTTGTCTGGGACCAATTAAAAAATTACTTCTATGACATTTATTCGTTTCTTAACCGCTCATTGGCCGTTCACCGACTAAGGCCGATAAAGATAATTATTTCATAAATTTTGAACACGACTATATTTCGAAACTCGCTCTTAGTAACAAATCTAGTTACTTTTCCCTGTGTAAATGTGTCTTTTCAATTCGCTCCTCCTAGTTTAAAAACAGAGTATAGATATCGCTCCATGCTATTATACCCATGCCATGGTTTATCAAAGTAATGATCTGTGCGTCACAGAGTGTGTTTATAAACACACACAATTTATAAATAGACTAAATACGCTTTGTGCCATATATGGGCTAGTATGCGGTAAGGGGTTAAATTATGTAATAAGATGGTGGTGACTGGTGTGTACTCAAATAAATGCTCGTTTCCGTGATTTTAGGGTTGCAAAATTCTCAATAATATTTTCGGTAGGAATTTTAATGAGAATCATGTTCTATAGCCAATAAAGAAAGTTGATTAGTTTTTTCATCATCTAATGAATTTCTTTTATAACTTTTTACCCTTTCTAAGGTAGAAAATGATCTCTTCCCACTACAGTTAGTTACTGCCATGGATAAAAATTTCCATTGTGAAACATGTCTAATAAGTGAATCATACAATTTGACTGCTAAAGAAACATCGATTTCAGTAGCTTGTAATGACTTGCTAACCTTATTGAACTCTGTTAAAATATCGTCCCATAATTTTAACAAAATCCCAACTTCCAATTCTTCGAACCGATTTTTAATTCCTTTTGCTTGAACTTTTGTACTATTTGGCTGTGTAATATCATTTTCGATTACTGCTAATGATTCTTTAAACGCAGAAAACCCTAAAATAATTGCTTTACAGGAATCCGCGCGAGCAGACCATCGAGAAACAGATAATTTTTTTGGAACGAGAGCATTGGAAATTTTATTAAGTTCTTCTGTCATTATTTTCCACCTATATGTGGATGCTGAAAAAAAATTATATATTTCTTCCAAGAACATAAAAAATTAAGTGACCATATTACATCACTCAGCTGCACAAGTTCCTACCAAATTAAGAGAGTGTGCCGCACAGGGGACAAATAAGGCTAGAGGATTCCTTTTTTTAATGAGAGCTTGCAATCCTGAATATTGACCAAAAATATTATTGGCATTGTCATAAGACTGCCCCCTACATTCTTGAATATTTAACTGTAACTCGTCTAATATCTTAAGAACAGCAGTTTCCATGTCAACTGCCTTATGACCAGTATTACTAATAAAGGTAATAAAACGTTGTATAAGAGAGCCATCACATATGACACATATAAGAATAAAAGTAAGCTGGTCCAGGTGACTAACATCAGGCGTTGAATACACGGAAATAAAAAAATATTTCGCCGATATGGCTTCACTACTAATAAAATCACGAACGTGCTTTGACAAAACTCCAATAAACTTGTCACAAAGAGAAGATGATAAATATGAGACATTACCGCGTCCCGGATTTTCATATTTTTGTAAGTGATTGTTCAAGAATGGATCAAATTGAGCTATTAACTCTAAAAGTCCTAAATAATTGCCGTTATCATTTCTCCCAAACTTCTCTGTGGTACTCCTGAATGCCATACCTCGACTTGCTAAAAATTTAATTGTAGACAATACACGATGGAGAAATTTCATCCAGTAGTTTTTTCCTTTAAATATTGTTTTTCAATTTCTGTATCTATTTTGCCTAAAGTATTGGAACGAGTTAGAAATATTTTTGTGTTATTTAAATGTTCTTGCGAAGCCTCATGCTTTTTAATTCTAATAATATTTTTTCAGTCATTAAATCCTTTAACAAAAGATTTTTCACGATCCTTGCTAAACAACATACACGGCGAACAGAAAACTGAATTCTTCGACACCGAATATTAGAGCCACTCTCGCCAAACTTCCTCACCATTTCGAAGTTTGGAAAAAATATTTTTTTA